AAAAAAAAAAAAAAAAAAACTATCTATCTATCTATCTATCTATCTATATATATTCTATAACTCCTATTAATAAGTCTCCTCACACCACCAGGCCACTAGGAAGTAAACCCACCACGTGTTGAGGCTGGTCCCTGACAGAAGATAATGTGGAAAGAACTCCTAGAAGATAGTATAGAAAGAACTCTTAATCTTATCAACCTAGGGAAAGAATTTATAAAGATGACGACCCACTGGCAATTGCAGCAACAACAAAAATAAATAAATGGGACTTGACCAACTTAAAAAGTTTTTGCACAGTTGAGGATACAGTCAACAAATAAAAAAAAAACCTTCAGAATGGGGGAAGATATTAAAAACTAGGCAAGAGGCATGAATAGAAACTTTTCTCATACGGACAGACAAATGGCCAATAAAGGCATGAAAAATGCTCATTGTCCCTAATGATTAGAGAAATTGCAAATCAAAATCACTTTGCAGTATCACCTAACCCCAGAGAGAATGTCCCACATCACAAGATGCTAAAGCAATAGTTGCCCATGTGGGTGTGGAGAGAAGGGAACACTCATGCACTTTTGGTGGGACTGCAAACTAGCACAGCCTCTATGAAAAGAAGTATGTAGACTCCTCAAAGAACTAAAAGAAGATCTACCACTTGACCCTGCAATCCCACTACCAGACATTTATCCAATTGAAGAAAAGACATTTTATCAGAGAGACATTTGCACTAGAATGTTCATAGCTGCTCCATTCACAATCACAAAGATGTGGAAATAACACAAGTGACCATCAACACATGAATGGATGAATAAACTGTGGCATATGCACACCATGAAATACTATTCAGCCATTAAAAATGAAGTTTTGTATCCTTTGTAACCTAGATAGATTTGAAGAACATTCTCCTAAGTAAAGTATTACAAACTGGAAAAATAAGCATCACATATACTCAATACTAATTTGAAACTAGGAAATTACTAATCACAGACCCACGAGAGAGAAAAATCTCAGTTAAATTCAAGAAGGGAGGAGGGGGTTCAGTAGCTTTCTAGCCAATGGGTACAATGCATGGATACATACACTCCCTGGGTGCAGGATACCGCTATAACTCTGACTTTAACTTTTCATGTGTAAATCACATAACCTAATGATTTGCACTCTCATATTAATCTGAAATACATATAAAGTTAAAAAACAAAAGAAAAAGAAAAGTGAGGCCCAGATAAGTATCAATAGAAAAGAGTTCAAACTCTGTAAAGTAATTTATTTATTTATTTATTTATTTATTGAGACAGAGCCTCAAGCTGTCCCCCTGGGTAGAGTGCCAGGTGTATGTGGCTGGCACCTTAGCCGCTTGAGCCACAGGCGCCGAGCCCTGTAAAGTAATTTAAAGAGGTTTATTCTGAGCCAAATATGTACAATTATGGCCCACAAAGCCACTCCTAAGAAGGCTTGATCAAGTGTTCTCACTGTAGTTGTGTTGCAATTTGGTTTTATAAACATTTCTGGGGGGCAGGAACTGTATCTCAAGTCATAAATCAATATACGGACAGCTACATTGTTTTAGCCCTCAAAACAGGACATCTGGTGGGGTTTGGGGTTGGCTTACAGATTTTATATATATATATATATATATATTTTTTTTTTTTTTTTTTTTTTTTGAGACAGAGCCTCAAGCTGTCACCCTGGGTAGAGTGTCGTGGCATCACAGCTCACAGCAACCTCCAACTCCTGGACTCAAGCAAGTCTACTGCCTCAGCCTCCCAAGTAGCTGGAACCACAGGTGCCTGTCACAACGCCCGGCTATTTTTTGGTTGCAGCCGTCACTGTTGTTTGGCGGGCCAGGGCTGGATTTGAACCCACCACCTTAGGTGTATGTGGCTGGCGCCTTAGCCACTTGAGCCACAGGTGCCGA